CTAACGCCGTGACTTTTTCATACAGTGCCTCATGGTGTGGCGACCACTAACAACAAACGTATTCTCGTTGAAACTTCATAACTGTAGGGTATGTGTGTTTCCCGGTGGCCTTAGGCGACCCCTGTGAAAGAGTTGTGGTACCCCCTAATGGGGGTCGCGACCCACAGGTTAAGAACCGCTGATCTAGATAGTGTCTATATGGTTAAACTACGACACGAGGTTTGTGGGATGGAATCTGAAGAGCTTTGACTGATTAAGGAGAAATTAATTTCAATATAGTAAATTATGCTTACAACTAATGGTTTCTATTTAAAAAAAAAAATTTTTTAATGATTCATCTTAAAGCTTGTCTTCGTATCGTGATGTGCTGGGATCGCCGCGAATACCCGAATCATGTGAAATTTTGTATTAAAAAAAATCTCGAACTGCAACAATGTACTGAAAGAATATTTATACAGAAATTGCTTGTTACGGTTCACCTTGCCATGAATGATGCACGCTAAATTGAATGACGTAAGTACGCAGATGCTGCTGACGTGTGCTAAATAGGGTTAACATTATACACAAATGTATATCAATACATAATAATTTTTAAAATCCAAAACAAAATAAATGAAACAATAAATCAAAAAAATATGGCACAAATTCTTCAACTAAAAAAAATTAGAGGAGTAGATTTAAAATTAAATTATCTTTATATATATATATATANAAACAATATTGCCACCAAATGTAAAACTGCATACCGAAAGATGTCAAAACAAATAGCAACTGAATCGTTTCTAGACAGGATCAAATTGAGCCAAAAATTGAAGACTTTCGTCTAGAAATGCCTTGACCACCTAGTCAACTCTGTCCACCAAAGAACACTAAACTTTCAAATGTGTTTAAAAACTCCGAGTTGAGAGGGGTTCTTTTGAATATGCTCAAGTTTTTTCGGAAAATTTCAAAGCTTTTTCTGAATATCCTAGGTTGTTCTAAATATCCAACAGTTCTTCTGCGTATCCTAGTGTTCTTCTGAATATCCTATCTTTTTTTCTGCCATTCCCATCTTTTGACCAATTTGTGAGTTCACAGGCATACAATTTTCGAGTTACAGCTGCGCTGTCCTCAAGTATAGGAGCAGATGAGGCAGTAGAGAGGAAAATTTTGAAGGGTCGTGATTTTCGTTAACATTATATCAACTGATGTGGGACGTATGCTGTGTCAGACTTGTCTAAAAATGCTGGAAGGAACTCAAACCAAATGTTTTCATCCCATCACGCTGGACAAGAACAACAACAACAACTTCTCTAGCAGGAATATTCTTCTGGAATCACCACACAAAAAAACTTTCAATAACTTTTACCACGGTTAAATCTTTTACGTTTAAAATATAATTTAAAAGACAAAAAATGTTCTAAAGTTAACGAAGAGAGTGATGTAAACAACCAGACAACTGAGAAAAGGGGAGACAAACAGGAAATAAACTAGTTGCCCTTTTTCAAATTGAAATAATTTTTCCTCTGCCAACTTTAAGCTTGCACTAGAGTTGGTACAAGTTATTTTTTTTTTTTATTTTTTTTTTAAACATTAATAATCATTACATAATGGCTTCAAAATCCACAAACAATTGTTACGTCTTATTATTAAAAATTTTTAATGTGGGGAAAAGTTCAAGCGAGATTACTCTTAAGCAAACAGGCTGCACTTCTTTATTACAGAAAGAAACATTGCCAGAAGAAGAAAAAAAAAAACTTTTTCTTTTAGCCATGCGAACACCAAAAACCTGGCCAATACTTAAGTGACTCGTCAAACAACCGGATAAAGAACCGCTTAAAAACGAAAGTGATTATGTCAATCATGAGGAGAAATGTGTGCGCTTTGAAGTCCCTAACAACCATCAATACTGAAGAATAAAACAAAAAACAAAACTAATTAGATTTTTTTTTAGCACACGACCTTAACTCAACGTTAAATAAACCAGAATATTGAGGATACTTCATCTGGATGTAAACATTTCAGATTCTTTTTTTAGAATACTTTATCTCAGCGTCAAATAAACACGACTGTGAAGGATGCATCAACTGATCGTAAACAAAGCTCGCGAGGAGGAAGTTGACATGACGACTGCATAACCTCCAACTCAAATCGGTCGAATAATAGGTGATACTGTGTAAACCCTTAGACTTTGAGCGTTTTCCCCCCACCTTTTAAAATAATCCTAGAAATGATTCCAGTCCGCGTGAACCGAGCTTCGTAGACAGCATCCGATTAAGATCGAGTTTAACCGTACTCAGTTCACAATAACTGAGACATATTCTCCCGCAAGAGAAACCAAACAGTTGCACATATGGAGAGCTTTCCCAGGCCGGTCCAGAGGACCGCAGACAGTTTGTATACAGAGCAGCTTCTCATTTTAATTCAGGAGAGGAGCCCCCAACAGCTGGGGGACCTCCTATTGTACAACAATTAGACTTGCCACGGTTTTATTTTAAGACTTAGGAAGGTTCGGTTGTAGCAGGTAGGTCACGGGGGAGGGGGGGGTTGTGTGTGTGTGATTCCCCTCCCCCCCCCCGGGTCGTGCACTCACAACAGTTGTATCAGGTTAGTGTAAGCTTTTCTTTTTAAGTGCGATGATGTGGGAGCTGTGTGGTTGTTTGAGAGAGGGGTTTGGGGGAAAAAGGGGGGGGGGGGGGGTCCTCAGGGTACACTGTCCAACTGGGGGGGGGGGGGGGGTGGGGGGG